GAGCTGCTGCTTCTGCTGCTGCAAGAGGAGCAGCACGTACAGCCGGGGTGCTCGCCCAGATTTTCCCATGCCCCACCAACCAAAACTTTCTGGCTATGCCCCTGCGTCTGGCATCACATCCCTTCAGTGGTCCTTCACTTCTCCAAACCTCAGTTTCCCCAGGCACCACCTCCAAATCTGCTGGAATTTCCTAAGGTGGAGCTGGCAACCTTAAAGTGTGTTTCATGGGTTTCTGGTTTTATATTTATTTGCTCTGCCAAACGGGGAGCTTCTGGGTCCTCACGGGTGCTCCCTCTCCTTCCTTCCTTCCTGCAGGTGACACACTGGCACAGCCCCTACTTCTTTGCCTATTTCCCCACCGCCAGCTCTTTCCCGGCTCTTCTGGCGGACATGCTGTCTGGGGGCATTGGATGCATTGGCTTTTCTTGGGTAAGTTTCTGCCAGTTTGGTGTGGTGGTTAAGTGCGCGGACTCTAATCTGGGAGAATCGGGTTTGATTCCCTGCTCCTCCATTTGCACCTGCTGATGTGACCTTGGGTCAGTCACAAGCTCTGGCACAGCTGTCCTTGAAAAAGGGCAGTTTCTGTCAGAGCTCTCTCAGCCCCACCGACCTCACAGGGTGTCTGTGGTGGGGAGGAGAAGGGAAAGGAGTTTGTAAGCCGCTCTGAGACTCCAAGTGAAGGGCGGGGTATAAATCCAATCTCTTCTTCTTCTCTCCTCAAGTAAAAAACTGTTAAGCTTCTCCTCATCGGTTCATTCAGTTTGTGGGAAGTCACTGTAAGAATCAAAGTAATCTTTCCATAATTTCTAAAAATTACCTTTTTTCCCATTTTTATTTTAGAAATTATGAAAAGATAACTTTCACTGGACGTTTCCCCCCCCTCTCCCTTGTTCTGTCTATCATTTCTACTGTTTCTCCGGTTCTGACAGAAATTGCTATCGTTTTTCATTGTAGAGTGGTTTATACTATGATAATTAAATGCACACAAGTATGATTCAAACTTAACAACTGTATTTGTATGTATATATACTAAGTGTATATATACTAATATATACTGTATATACTAATTGAGCTGCAGTGGCTCAAGTGGTTAAGACGCTGAACTGCAGGCTGTGGAAGGTCAGTAGTTCAGCAGTTCGAGACCCGGGTGCCGCATGACGGAGTGAGCTCCCGTCTCTAGTTCCAGCTCCTGCCAACCTAGCAGTTCGAAAGCAAGAAATTGCAAGTAGATAAATAGGTACCACTTCGGTGGGAAGGTAACAGCATTCCGTGCACCTTGGAGTTTAGTCATGCTGGCCACATGACCACAGAAAAGTCTTCGGACAGCGCTGGCTCTTCGGCTTGGAAACGGAGATGAGCACCGCAACCCTAGAGTCGGATTCGACTGGCTTTTGAGCAAGGGAACCTTTACCTTTACTTATACTAATTGTGGTATACACCTTGACTCCATTATACATGTGAACATACACAGTATACTGCTCTTGAAACTAAGAAAATGAGTTTAAAGTTACTGTTGGACTTACCCATACTGCTTTATCATTGTTTCCCTCTATGGTTTATTGTTTATCTCTCCATATAATCATATTGTTCCTCAGGTACTTTCCTCACTTGATGTTGTTTTGTGTCATATATACAGTATCTGCTGTCATTATACTTTCGATGTTATCTATACTGTCTGATAAACTTTCAAAATTTAATAAAATGTTAACAGTAAAAAAAAAGAGGACCAGGAAGTAGGTGATGGGAAAGACCTCTGCCCAACCGCCTGGAGAGCTACTACTGGTCTGAGTAGACAATACGGACCTCGGTGGACCAAGGCTCCCTCTTATTTTTGAGAGGGCAAGAAGAAAAGAGATTCCAGAGTACATGGTCAAGATTTTATAAACGGTTGGAAGAATACTACCAATGAACAATGTAGACTTATAATTTTATCTGGGGATACCTTAGATGAAATGTTAATGCAGAATATCTACAGAAAAGTTTTGGTGATAAATATTGATTATTTCATAGCTATACACAGGGGTCATTTCATAGAAAAAGAGGTGCAGGAGCTCGTTAGCATAACTCATTAGCATAACTTATTTGCATATGCCACACCCCCTGACATCACCGGAAGTGTGTCAGAAGGCAACACCCACCGCTCAGGCTCCACAGGACTGTTTTGGATTGCTAGCTATTCGGGGGGGGGGACATGCAGATCTGCCCTTACAGAGGGGGGAGAGCTTGTTGTTGTTGTTCAGTCGCACAGTCGAGTCCAACTCTTCGCGACCCCATGGACCACATCACGCCAGGCGTGATGCGTGATGTGGAGAGCCTGTACCTGCATAAAACTTGGTCTTAAAGGTGCCACTGGACGGTTTTGGACTGGGGGCCTGGGGGGGGCTCTGCAACTTGCCTGGCTGCTTCTTGCTCTGACTGTGGGCTGCTGGGAGCAGAGGGTGGGGCTTGTTGTATGTGCCCGCCCCCTGGGCTCTTTACTGCCGGATCTCCGCTCCTTTGCGCTCCTGCAGGAAATGAACCCTGGCTATACAATATAGCAGGTAGTGTAATAGATATAATAAGTAGATACTTGTAACCCCCAATGTATATGTTTTTGTGTGTGTTTATATGTTTTATGTATGTGTTTATTTCTGTTTGTTTTAAATTGAAATAATTTTTTTTTAAAGGATGGACCAAGGATCTGATCCGGTATAAGGCAGCTTCGTGCGATCAGACGTACCCACCCGAAATACCAGCACGCTTAAGATTTGTTTCCAATCTCTTCTTTTTCTTCTTCTTCTCGGCCTGCAGCAGGGGAGACAGAGCCAGGCAAGGACCTCTTTGGGAACAGTCTGCTTGAGGCGGTGGCTTCAGAGCAAACTAGAGGGCAGGACATGTTTTTTTTTTTTTTAAGGAAATTACTTTCTAGTAGAGAGGATACATCTGCAGACTGGGTTCTGGGAGGCCTTCGGGGGCATGTGTCCAAAGATAAGCCTGAGAAAGGAGTCCGTTTGGTAGTCTGAAAAGGTATGTGAGGAATCCTCGAGATCCTAATTTTTGTTGGGTAAATAAGGCACGGAGACTAGAGTTTGTTGTCGAAGGCTTTCACGGCCGGAGTTCATTAGTTGCTGTAGATTTTCCGGGCTGTATGGCCGTGGTCTTGGCATTGTAGGACCTGACGTTTCGCCAGCAGCTGTGACTGGCATCCTCAGAGGTATAACACAGAAAGATGGAGTACTCTCTGTGTCAAGGTGAGAAGAAAACTGGTAGGCAGGTGATTTATATCTACTCAGGAAGGTGGGGTAGGGCTGAGTCATTATCTTGTAGGAGTTCCCCAGGCTATGAACATGCTAATGGAGGGGCTTTCCTGAGGAGGTTCTTTTGCATATGGATTAGTGAGGAAAATGAGAATGCAGAAAAGCTCCTCGTTTGGGAATGTGTACTTCTTTTGTATCTTTCAGTTCTTTTCTGCTGTCCGTTTCCTTTCTAGGCGTCCAGCCCAGCCTGCACAGAACTGGAGACAGTGATGCTGGATTGGCTAGGAAAGATGATAAATCTGCCTCCGCAGTTTTTGGCTGGGAAGGATGGTGAGGGCGGTGGTGTGATCCAGGTAGGCTCGAATGAAGAGAATATATATATATATAGCTGTGACCACTTTGTGCTCTTTGTTATCGCTTGCTGTATAGTCTGTTCACACTGGATAGAAACTGCTTGTGTGCTCATAATCAGCAGAATCACTTATCTTTAGGTGTACACAGTCAGGCCAAGCGGTTCCTCAGGTGTGTGCATGGGAGATGTGTTTATCAGCACAAACTTAACTAAAAGTTTAACTAACGTTGATCGGCAGGAACTTAACTGACCTCTCCTACTGATGTATGGCAAGATGCATTTCAGCAGGTGCTCCAGATATTTATTTATTGATTTATTTTATTTCATTTATATCCCGCCCTCCCCGCATGCGGGCTCAGGGCGGCTTACACGGCACAACAGTGCAATAAAATGTAACACATTGAGATAATTTAGGCACACAAGTGCAATAAAATTACACAATTATCCCCTTAAAAACACATTCAATAGTACCGGATGCATTGGTAGTTAAAAATACCCATTCGTTATCCTATCTCCCCGTGAGGTCAGCAGAAAAGGGGGGGTTGCCATAGGCTGAGATGTTCCCAGTTGGCTAATCAGCCCACCCCGACGGCACTGCTCTGCAGTGCACGGTGGTGGTAATAGTGGCGGCGGCGGCTCCTACTCAAAAGCCTGGCGGAAGAGTTCCGTCTTGCAGGCCCTGCGGAACTGTAAAAAACAGATAGTCGTAATTACTTTCAAGGTCGCCATTGTTCAGTGAATGTTTTCCTTGGCATGCCATAATATGTCACCATGTGCGAATCCTTATGGGAGAGGCTGTGACCCAGTGGTAGAGCCTCTGCTTTGCGTGCAGGAAGCCCCTGGTTCAATCTCTGGGGTCTCTTGTTAAAAGGATAAAGCAATAGGTGATGTGGAAGGACCTCTGCCTGAGACACGAGAGAGCAGCTGCCTGTCAGTGCAGATGATGCAGACCTTGGTGGACCAACAGTCTGGCTCAGTATGAGACCACTGAGGTCGTCTTTGGAGGCCCTGCTTCGGGTGCCCCCACCTTCTGAGGTTAGGCAGGTGGCCCCTCGGGGGAGGGCCTTCTCGGGCATGGCATCAAAGCTTTGGAACTCTCTCCTCAGGGAGAATCACCTGTCCCCTTCTGTTGTCATCTCCCACCAGCAGGTGAAGACTTTTTCTGAAAAGTACACAGACGACGCAGGGCTATTTTTGGGCAGGAACGCACAGGAACAGAGTTCCGGCTGGCTCCCGAGTTGGCCACGCCCAGCAGGAGCTCAATAGCATAACAGGCCACACCCAACAGCAGAAACTCATTAGGATTGGCTACATTAGGAGTGTGTGGCCTAACATGCAAAGGAGTCCCTGCTACAAAAAAAGGCCCTGGGTTTTGACCACAAACAAGGTAAACAGAATGAGAAGCAAAAGGTGGCTGTGGCTGGATGACCACACTTCTGGTAACATGGGGGTATGGCCTAATATGCTAATAAGCTGTACTATCAAGGGTGTGGCCAAATATGCTAATAGGTTTCTGCTGTTGGGTATGGCTTATTATGCTAATGAGTTCCTGCTGGGCTTTTTCTACAAAAAAAGCCCTGGACGGACGAGTGATTTCAGCTTAGCGTAGTGGTGTGGGGTGTAGTTCGCTGGCCGAAAAGGATAGCTGCCAGCTTATAGTCCCAGTCCGAGGAGTCCAGGTGGCAGAGGGCATCCTTCATTGTCCGGACCATGAATTCAGCCTGCCCATTGGTTGCGGGCTGCAACGGGGCTGACCGGACGTGGCGGATTCCATAGTATCTTCTGAAGTCCTGGAACTCACTCAATGTGAATGCCATTCTGTTATCTGTAACCAACGTGTCGGGGATCCCCTGGGTGCTGAATATTCGCCACATTGCCCGGATAGCCGCCTTAGAAGAAGTGGAGGATACTGGAACAACCTCCAGCCATTTACTGTAGGAGTCTACAAGTATAAAGAAAAAGCAGAGTCCCACAGGCCCGGAGCCTAGCCCTCTGATTGGTGCGGGCTAGGATCTGCATCATCCTTTGTTTAGCGGAGTGAAGCTCGATGCTTGTACTTGACCGCGTGGTGCCCAAGCCGACCACGCGGTCGGATCCTGATACATTACACCCCTCCCCCCTTGGTCTGCAATGCACCCACAGATAAAGTCCTTTAAATGAGCCGGTGCCTTTCGGGTGCGGGAGGAGCGGTGAAGCTTGGGAGTGGTGGCTGGCGCCTCCCGTGGCGCTTCCCGTGGCGTCCTTGGCGGAGAGCTGGTCGGGGGTGGCGCATGGTTTCTCATGCCAGTGTGACCGGTGTAGCTGGCATGCTTCCGGGAAGAGGCACAGGTTCGGCAGGTCCCGGTTGTAGAAGGGCTGGTGAAGACCCGGCAGAGTACCTTGTCCTTGGAGGTGCAGCGAGCCACCTCTTTGACGTGGTCCTGTAGGGAATCCAGAAGCACGACCTGGTGAGCAGGAGCCAGAGCCGGGTCACAGACTGGCAGCAGCAGGCAGCTCAGGGCGTCCACATGGCCCATCGCCTTCCCCGGGTGATGAACTAGGGTGTAGGAGTACCCAGCCAGGAATATAGACCAGCGAAGCACCCGGGGTGAAATCATCTGAGGGGTCTGGCGGTCAGGGGTGAGGAGGCCAAGCAGCGGCTTGTGGTTCAAGGTCCGTGAGGACCATGAACGGGCGTCCATACAGATAGTGGTGAAATTTCTTCACCCCCGCTACAATAGCCAGTGCCTCTTTATCAATTTGTGCATAGTTGCGCAGAAAGGGTCCGTGAATAATAGGCAACCGGGACCTCACGGCCGTCCGGCAGCCAATGTCCCAGGACCGCCCCGACCCTGTAAGGTGAAGCATCACAAGCCAGCACAAAAGGGAGTGCCTCGTTGAAATTCGCCAGGACCGAATGTGACACGAGCAGGTCCTTGACCACTTGAAACGCTGCAGCTTGTGAGGGACCCCAGACCCAAGGTGCTGACTTGTCCAGGAGGCAGTGGAGCAGTTCGTTCAGCAACTGCAGCTTTGAGGGGCAAGAATGAATGATAAAAGTTCAGGAGCCCCAGAAAAGCCTGCAGCTCCAATTTGGACCGTGGAGGCGGTGCATGAGTGATGGCTTTCACCTTGTCCGCGGTGGGGTGGATGCTGGAGGCGTTGACCGCGAAGCCCAGAAACTCGATGCGAGGGACCCCCAGCAGACATTTCTCTCGCTTGACCTTGAGCCTGGCCGTGTCGAAGTGATGCAGCACCGCCCACAGCCGATCAGCGAAAGACGAGTGGTCCGGGGCAGTGATCAGCACATTGTCTAAAAACAGCTGAACTCCGGGGATACCTTTTAGGAGTGAACCCATAAAAGATTGAAAAATTCCCAGCGCGACAGAGACTCCGAACTGGAGGTGATGCACCTTGAAAGCCCCTCTGTGTGTCGTGATTGTCTGAGCCTCAGCTGTGGCGGCATCAACTGGCAATTGCTGATACGCCTGGGCCAAATCCAACTTGCCAAAGACCCGGGCCTCCGCCAAAGCATGGCTCACCACCGGCACCGGATAAGCGTGTGCCTGCAGAGCCTGCAGAGCCTTATTACGCATGCATTTATCGATATCCAGGTCGTCCTGGCTGATCAGTCTCCTCTGGAGCTTGGGCTCCCGTAGTCCCACGAGGAACTGGTTTAGGAGAGCTTCAGCCAGGTTGGAAAAGGAACATCTGGTGGCGGCCCAACGTAGAGCCGCCAGGAAATCTGAGGCGGTCTCGTCGGGGCCCTGGACTTTCACAAAAAAGTCCATGCGCTCCACAAACTTAGAGGGTTTGGGAGCCAGG